GGGGGGGAGGGGGCAACAATCAGGTTAATGGAGAAAAGGGAAATTTACAAGCTGGAGTTGTATGATATATACACTCCATCTTGAGTGGCAGTATTAGAATACTATGTAGTAAGTTCAATCCAAAAAATTATTTATTTATTTTTAAATAATCTCCTGCCTGTACAGTTGCTTCTAGATGTCTGCATTTGGAAACTGCCATGTCCAAACACCTACTTCTGATGTCAGACAGTGACACGTGTTCCATGCAATTGTAAAATGGATATATAGACATGAAAAAGATGACTCCATGGACTAAACTAGAATCCATGGACTAAAAAGGTACTGTACTATCTAGTTTCTAAAATGAACTGTTAACCAACAAAATAAATAAGGAATTCCAAATTTTGTTGTTTCTTACAAACCTCTGAGGTATAGTAAAAGGTATCAGGAGGAACAGTATTGCCTAGTATCTTAGGCAAGAAAGATGAGACTATTTTGCAAGGTGGATGAAAGCATTCATCTGCACAAAAATGAGCAACCACCAATAAAGCATAATGTCTTTATGAGATGATATAAAAATAAGAGCCACTGGATATTATATAGAATAGCCTTCTTTATTAATGAAAACTTTATCAATAAGCAATAAAATATACTTAGAAAGCAAACATGCAGTGTACAGTATGTGATGGGATCAGTAATTGAATAGTGTTTGATTCAGGTGATAGGATTGGTGAATAGGGTTTAGGTAGATTATGAGTGGCTTTTTGAACAACAGGAGTTCAGATCTGCGCCCCACAATGTCCCACAACACATCTCCGCCGTGTATTGGGAACATCTCCCGATGATGACATCATCGGTTCTGGTACTATAATCGGGAGATGTTGTTAGACAGTTTTGTATGCCCTTAGCTCCAATCAGTTTTGACAAACTTTTGACATTTAGTGTAAATGAATAAAGTACATGTTTGATTCATGTTGTGTGGTATGTTTCTGTGTAAGACCCTTAAACTAGACAATGAGACTTGTGTTAGTTTAGAATGTTCACAGCCATTGGACAAGTCTGAGGAGATTTATCCTGCCAAGGCTGACACTGGTGTGCTGCCAAATGTTGGGGTGGCCTGTCTCAACCGCCAGGGTGAGACCCAAGGCACATGCAATGTAGGATTACTTGAATCTTTGAACCGGACAAGATTTCTAGTATTGCCCTAGACCTTGGAGATTGATGGGCAAAACTGGAAAGTTACACCTGACTCCTAGACTCGATTATGATACTGCACTAGGTGTCGAATTGGACTGTCTTTGATATGCCAATCAGTGAGATCTTCAATGGGGGTCAAAACCTGGGTATGTTGGGACAGTCTGAGAATTCATCTGAGTGGGTGATCATAGTGACAGGATCAGCCCCTTTGTCGGACAAAGGTAATGATCAAGGATGCACTCTCTCGGATGGAAACCAAACTGCCGGCAATTGATTTCAATCGTTGGAATTTTATTTTGCAAAATTTATATATATAAGATAAATAGATATATACGGTTTTCAAAATGTTTGCAAATGGTTTTAATTCTCGGGATCCATGTGAGTAGAGAGTGCAGTACTGTTCCTTGTAGCCGAGGGAGAGGTCCTCTCTTGTCGGGTAGTATTTGATCATTATGGGCTGAGAGGTTGAGTGTAAGGCCATTTAGGGTTATACCTGATGGGCTAATCTTGCATCTGCCCACAGTCCCTGGGTTCTTATAAGATGGCTTGACCCAGGGACCACTTAGTGTAAGTGTTGGGCCCACAGAGTCCATGTGATGAGCTCAAGGGGTTCACTGGGCTTTCTAGTGAATTCGGCTAGGCCTTGTAACAAAGGCTGGGCCGAACCCATGTGGCTGATGTGTAGATCAATGCTTGGGTCCCACGCCATACAAAGAAGCCCAACTGGGAAGCAGTTTGGAAGCCTATT